ACTAACAATGCTAGGCACCATTAGGAAAGGGATAGATAATAAGACAGGAATATCATAATGCCACTATATAAACCCACTGTACGCCAACACCTTGAATACTGTGTTCAGTTCTGGTCACCTCATCTTAAAAAAGAATTAGAAAAAAGTACAGAGAAGGGGAACAAAAATGATTAGGGATATGGAACAGCTTCCATATGAAGAGAGATTAAAAAAGACTAGGACTATTCAGCTTGGAAAAGAGATGACTGAGGGGAGATATGACAGAGGTCTATAAAATCATGAATTGTGTGGAGAAAGTCAATAAGTAAGTGTTACTTACCCCTTTGTATAACACAAGAACCAGGGGTCACCCAATGAAGTTAACAGGCAGCAGGTTTAAAACAAAACATAAGGAAGTACTACTTCGCACAACACAGAGTCAACTTGTGGAACTCATTGCCAGGGGATGCTGTGAAGGCCAAAAGTATAACTGGGTTAAAAAAAGAATTAGATAAGTTAATGGAGAATAGGTCCATCAATGGCTATTAGCCAAGATGGTCAGGGATGCAACCCCATGCTCTGGGTGTCCCATGTCTCTGTTCTGTTCAATCTCTCTGAAGTATCTGGCATTGACCACTGTCAGAAAACAGGATACTGGGCTAGGCAGACCATTGGTCTGATCCAGTATTGCCATTCTTATGTTTTTAGGAAGAAACTCACCGAGGAGACTGGGCCTTGACAAACAAGAGATTTGTGGTTACCCGTATCCCTAGGCATCTTAGATGGGCCACAATCACCATGATGCATTTGGTGAAGACTTGAGGACCACACTGAAGCACAAGGATTGTGTGTCTACCCAGAATCCAAGGTACTTCCTATGTCTAGCCCTGACTGAAATGTATCAGAACATATTTCTGTCAAGAGCTTAGAATCAATCTTGACAATTTATAGGAGTAACAACGGCCAGCTTAACCATACAAAACCTGAATTTCCACCTGATTTTGATCTGGGCTCTCCATTATAATAAAGTTTGAAGACTCACCCGTTTAATTTGAGATTAGAAAATAATGGGAGTGAAAACCCTCTGGAGTCATCAGCCAAAGGCAAGCAGCCTTGGAGAAGTGACTAAGTGAAGGATCAGTTTGCACTGGACAACTGCCCAGATCCATGTTGTGATTTCTTAAGGGTGGAAGAGAGAAAGATTGAGGAGGGTCTGTTGGCAGATAAAAAGTCATCTGACTTCTTCCTATGCTTCAGATCTGATGAAGGCTCAGATCACGGTGCCTGTTCTTTAGATTTCCCCCCCTCAAGCTCTGAAGGCATTTGGTGTGCTGGTCCATCTAGACATTTTCTCATGATGTTCACCATCTGCATCAAAATATTGTAGGACACCACAAAACAAGAAGTAACAGAATGGACAATGACTATTCTAGAACAAGAAATGGATGATATCCAGATCAGAACTGCACATCACACGGACAAACACCAATCTGGAATTGTGCAATGACTGACACGGACCTAGCTGTCTTAAGCCAAGCACCAACCTACTAATCAATTTTAAATGTTGTTTAACTATAACCTATCAACTAAATAGAAGCATTTAGAAAAACAGGTTGTCTGCAGTGCAGTCAGGATGAATAACCATGCAGAGACTCCAATGCTTAGTCCCAGGAAAAAGAACTGAGAGCAGTTGGAGACTAGATCCTTTATATACATTTTTCCCAGTTTGGATCCATGGAGGGGTGCATCTCACATGTGCAAGCCCAACTGTCGTTGTTTTCTAGACAAAGAGGAGTTAAGATGCCTGCTCCCAACAGTGGGGATCTGTCAAGAGTGTGTGCGCTCAGTCCTCACAACTTCATTTACAGGGGGAGGTTACAATGAATTTCTCTTTGTTTACTCTTTCCACCTGCTGGCAAAAGGATATGATGTCGGGAGCTGCATTAAGCAAAGTTGGAATACAACAAAAGCAAGGCTCATTCTCATGCAAGTTTTCCTCAGCAAGGTTACCTCTTTAATGTTAATGAGCTGGGTACAACTCACAGGGCAAATCTTACCCTCTCTTCAAACACAGATGGCTTTGTCCATAGTTAAACAGTAAGTTTTTGTTCTAATGGGAAGGAAGGATACAGGGAGCCTATATAGAGGGTTTGCAACCCCCGCCATTCTGCAAATGTTGCCTATGCACCATAATGGGGGGGATGGAGGGGGGTGGGGCCACTGAATCAAACGTTAGGGGTATATCTACATTGCAGCGGGGAGTGATCCTTCCAGCCCAGGTAGACAGGCTGGAGCTCCAGCCTGGGCCACACTACTAGAGTGAGTCTGTCTACCTGGGCTGGGCGGCTCGCTTCCAGCTGCAATGTAGACACACCCTAGGTGGACCTACCAACCAAACCCTCCTGCAGCCAAGGGAGCTCACAGGGGTTACCACTCTGTGCTACCATTCTGTGCACTGGCGAAAGTCTTGGTTCAGAGCAGAACATTTTGCCCTCTGTGAATTAAAAGTCAATCCGACCAACACAAGTGGCTTGGGTAAGAGACAGGAATTCAGAAGCTCCAATGTTTGCTTTTTAATGTGTTCAATTTAGTTTGTATGGACTGCTCTCTACCAGTAGTATTTCACTGCTTTGCAGCCCTCTCATTCTACCCTCTTCCTCTGACAAGCAGTAAATGCTTCTCCAGAAAACAATGCCTGCCTCCACGCCCCACGGATGACAGCTATTACACACAGTTGGAAGGTGGTGAAAAAAGGACTCACTCTTTTGAAAAATACTCCAAATCTACTGTCAGTGATTCATTTATTTAGATTGATAAAACAAGAGACACGTGTATGAACACTATGTGCCTCCAACAAATACAAAAAACACGAACCCCATAACATAGTTCTACTAAAAATCAGACAGCACAAATAAACCGAATTCCCCCTTCTGCTATGTATCACCCTCCACAATATTTCCCTTTTCCACTTTCTATTTCAAACCTCAGTTAAACATGTTGAAAATTTCTTACATTACTTGCAAACAATCAAAAACCTATAAACCCTATAGCAAGTACATAACAGTGCTCCCCCACCTCCTCCCCCCAAGTTTACATCTTTTGGGCTAAGACATGACAGCAAGACTATACTAGAAGAGTAGCGTACAGCAGAAGGCAAGGAATTTCTCCTCCCTCCCCCGCAAGTATAGTTTAAAATTTGACAGATCTCATTCTAAAAAGTTCCGAAAATATTTCTAGAAATAAATTTGGTTAAACAAATCAAAGATAACTTCTGAAATCACAATATTATGGTTAAGGCACAGGACAAGGAGTCTGGAGACTTCTCTTCTGCTCCAAACTTTGCCATAAACACACTCTGTGACTTTAGGGGAGTCATAAGGGGCCTGATTTTCCACAGATGGCAAGTATTCTCTTCTCCCACAGATATCAACAGCAGTTGTGGGTACTCAGCAGCTCTGCAAAAGCAGACTTCTAATCTCTCAAGATCACACACCCTCTGTGCTTACATTTTTTTGTAAAATAAGGATAGTACTTACCTCAATTTTGTTCTGAAGCTAATGTTTATTAGTACAGTATTTTAGATGCAATTTGTAAGATCTTGCATCTTGAAAGATGCAATTTGTAAACAAGTGCAAAATGGCATCTTGACAAACATTTTTCTGCTATTCATTTCCACAAAGTAATATGCTATAATCATGCAGGAAAGTAAATTATCAAAAAGATAACTCAATCACTGAATGTTTGCAATATATAATTATGATATCTTAATATTTTTTCTTATTAAAGAAGTGTTTTCATTGTTAAAAAAGGAAAGTCATCACATAAAACAGGACTATTCTCAGACAACATACTCCAAAGTCTAATCAATTACCATATATACTTGTTCATTAGCCCATTCGTTTATAAGCCAACCCCCCAAGATGGATAAGTAAAAATAGCAAAAACTGTATGACCCTTTCATAAGCCAACCCTATATTTCAGGGGTTGGAAAATGTTGGCTCCCAGCCTGTCAGGATAAGCCGCTGGGGGGTCGGGACGTTTTGTTTACCTGGAGCGTCTGCAGGCACGGAGCCCCTCAGCTCCCTGTGGCTGGGAACAGCGAACTGTGGCCACAGGGAGCTGAGGGGCTCCATGCCTGCAGACGCTCCACGTAAACAAAACGACAATGTATTAGATATTCAATTCAATGATTCCATAGAGCAGGGATCGGCAACCTTTGGCACGCGGCTTGCCAGGGTAAGTACCCTGGCGGGCCGGGACGGTTTGTTTACCTGCCGCGTCCACAGGTCCGGCCAATTGCGGCTCCCACTGGGTACGGTTCGCCGCTCCAGGCCAATGTGGGCGGCAGGAAGCGGCGGCCAGGTCATCCCTCGGCCTGCGCCGCTTCCCGCAGCCCCCATTGGCCTGGAGCGGCGAACCGTGCCCAGTGGGAGCCGCAATCGGCCAGACCTGTGGACGCGGCAGGTAAACAAACTGGCCCGGCCCGCCAGGGTGCTTACTCTGGCGAGCCACGTGCCAAAGGTTGCCGATCCCTGCCATAGAGTTTAAAAATCATCAAATTTTGGTGCAGACCCATTTATAAGCCGAACCCCGCTCTTTGACGAGTCACTTTTTTACCAAAAATATTCGGCTTATGAACGAGTATATACGGTACATCATTGTCGTCAGAAGAATTCATTCTGGCACAATAAATACAATTTTAAGTCTGCAATGATGAATGATCTTACCTACTGTGTTATTTTCACCCCACTTCACAGCTGTGTTTGTCATATGAAGATTTCACATGTGTGTAATAGTCTGTGGAATTTATGGCAACCTCAGGAACAAAACTGATAAAATATTTTAATGTCAAAAGCAAAGCTGCTACCTTTAATTAAGTTCAGAAGCAAAAGTTCTCTCCTTTTTATATTTATAACTGTAAAATTACTAGTTTCGACTGACTTAACATTACAAAAAAACTGCTGAGGTTACAGTACTAGCCTGTTCTCAAGAAACAAAAATTACACCACACAGTCACCTACCTGAGAGATATGCCATTGACCAGTTGTTTCTGCTTACAGGACTTGGAAGAGAGAGGAGAGGACGTGGGGGACAGATTGAGTGGAGCAATTAGATTATTGATGATTTCACTCAGCTGAGCACTCTGAAAAACACAGTAGCCGAACTTTTCATTCACACCAAGCATCAATCTAAAATGTGTCCCCTCAACCCCCATTTAGTATTCTTGATCTAGTTTTCTCCATGATGAACAAGTAAACACAAAATCTCTGTACATATCAAAAATGTTATGCTTGTTATTTCACAAGTCATATTTTGAACTTTAAAAACCAATACATTATGTTTGTTAGACTCTTGTTGAACCACTGCCAAGGACACAGTTTAGATATTTTTAGAGCAATATATTTAAGAAAAAAAACCTTAAACTTGAACCTTTAAGTAACCTGCAGAACACATTTTAACTTACATAATGATAATTATGATTAATAATGGTAGAAGAAACTTTGCACCTGACGATACAGCTGCAGTTCATGACTTCTGAACTGGGCTTCAAGATTGACTCAAGAGAAAAAAAATCTGGCTTCCTACTTTTTATCGTATGTTCTGTTGGTTGATAAAACAAAATAGTTTGGTCATTTAAAGAATCCTCTTAGTTGCTCACTTTGGTTGAGACGAGGTATAAGAATGACCAGTTTAGGTACAGTCAGAGCTAATGGAAACAAAAGGATGCTAGAAGGGATATAAATCCATACCTTTATTCTTACTTAACGGCATGTTCAAAACTACACTGCAAGACCCCATATAAAAAATTTTGACTTCAAGAATTGCGTGAAACATAGATGCAGTTAATTCTTTAAGACTAAGAATTCCTTCTTATGAAGTGATGAATTGTGGACAGAGTCCAGATAACATTTCACAGTGTCTTTGAATGTCAAACCTTAATGGTTACTCTGACTTCAAATTTACTCACTAGCTTATTTAGGTGAAACTGACTTAGTACTAAATAATTTGATTTTGCTAATATAAATTATGTATTGTGACGGGGCAAGGCCAGATGGCTCTAGTAAGTAGTGGGAGACAGAGATATTAGCCACAGGCTAAACAAATCCCTGTTACCAGGATAAGCAAATGGCAGCTGCTCCAGGTCAATTAAGACACCTGGGGCCAATTAAGATCTTTCGAGAAGGCAGGGAAGACAGCTAAGTTGATTGGGACACCTGAAGCCAATCAGGAGCTGGCTGAAACTAGTTATAAGCCTCCCAGTTAGCCAGGTGGGCGCACGTGTCAGGAGCTGTAGGAGGAAGCCGCACTGTGGGAGAAACGGAGCAGTACAAACCATATCAGGCACAAGGAAGGAGGCCCTGAGGGAAGGGTGAAGTAGATATTGAGGAAGTGGGGGCTACTGTGGGGAAGTGGCCCAGGGAATTGTATGCGTCCTGTTTCCAAAAGGTCAGCTACCATAGCTGATACTATTAGGATCCCTGGGCTAGAGCCCAGAGTAGAGGGCAGCCCCGGGCTCCCTCCCAAATTAATCACTGAGACTGGAGGACAACAGAGACTGTGCAAGGGAGAGTAGCTTCTCCTCACCTCCCTTGCTGGCTTATGATGAAAATGGCTCAGTAAGCTGTGACCCTTGCCCCTACGGAGAGAAGGGCTACGTGGAGGGTCACAGTGAGCCTCTGAGGCTAGCGAAATCCGCCAGGAAGTGTGGGACCCAGGGAGACAAGGACAGAGCTTTATCATAGTAGATTGAAATAGCAGACACATGCCTAACTTTTTTATTTACTAGGATTCACTATTCCAAAAGTAAGATTATTTAAAGCAAACATTCTTAAGACTTCTTCTCATGAAACCTTTATTTGTACACCTCTACCCCGATAGAACGCTGTCCTCGGGAGCCAAAAAATCTTACCGCATTATAGGTGAAACTGCGCTATATCGAACTTGCTTTGATCCGCCAGAGCGTGCAGCCCTGCCCCCCTGGAGTGCTGCTTTACTGCGTTACATCCAAATTCGTGTTATATCGGGTCGCGTTATATCGGGGTAGAGGTGTACTTTCAAGGACTAACATATATGAGAGAAAACACTTTCCATTTCATTTTTAGTCATGCCTCTTCTGTGAATTAATGTTAAAGTGTTGTGATAACAAAGGTTTTACGTATGTGAATAAAATCTTCAAGCAGAGAAATAGCAAGTCAGTTATAAAGTCTGAAACAAACCAAACCAAACAAGATGCCAAAAAAATTTAACAGACTGAATACAGCACTGATACTGAAGTCAAATGAACACAAAAGGATGAGAATAGCTGCAGATGTTTCAAAGTATGAGGGAAAATAACCATGATTTCAAAGTGATTCTGTTCTGAAAAGTGATGGCAAAAAGGCATTATTAAAAGGTTCCAGGCTTATGGTGTCTCACCAATTCGTAACAGTTTTTTTCAGTTCACAAATAAGAAGAGGATTTTGCTTAAACGAAGGTATCCTTTTGGACAGTGAAGTTACACAGGTATAACTGAGGCCATAGTTTGACCTACAGCAGAGGTGGGCAAAGTATGGCCCACGGGCCACATCCGGCCCGCGGGACCGTCCTGCCTGGCCCCTGAACTCCCAGCCGTGGAGGCTAGCCTCCCGGCCCCTCCCCTGCTACTTCCCCTGCCCTGTAGCCTCAGCTCACTGCGCTGCCGGGCAGCTCAGCACAGGCGCACCCCCCGCGGGGAGGGCAGGAAGGGAGGCTCACCCACAGCCTCGGGGGAGCAGGCGGGAGGTGCAGGTGGCAGGAGCATGGCGAACGCAGCCGGAAGAGTACCGGGCGGCCGCACAGCCGGCCAAAGAGAAGCGGCGCTTTAAAGGGGAAATCGCCACTTCTCTCCGGCTGCGCAGCTGCCACTGTTCCTCCTTACTCCTCCGCCCATGTTCGTAGGGCCACATTTCGAAAGGGGCTGGGGGGAGGGCGTTGGATAGGGGGTGGGGTCCCAGGGGGGCGGTTAGGGGCAGGGGGTCCCGGGAGAGGGTGCGGGGTCCCGGGAGGCGGTTGAGGGGGGGGTCACAGGAGGGGGCGGTCAGTGGACACGGAGGGGGGATTGGATAGTGGGTGGGAGTCCCGGGGAGCCTGTCGGGGGCGGGGATGTGGAGAGGGGTCAGGTGGGCAGTCAGGGAACTGGGAGCAGGGCGGCTGGATAAGCGGTAGGGTCCCGGGGGCGCGGTTAGGGGCACGGGGTCCCGGGAGGGGGCAGTCAGGGGATGGGGGAGGTTGCATAAGGGGCGGGGTCCCAGGAGGTGGTTGGGGGGGTCACAGGAGGGGGCAGTCAGGGGACGGGGGGGGTTGGATAGCAGGTGGGATTCCCGGGGGGCCTGTCGGGGGCGGGGATGTGGATAGGGGTCGGGGGGCAGTCAGGGACTGGGAGCAGGGCGGTTGGATAGGGGGTAGGGTCCTGGGGGGGCGGTTAAGGGCAGGGGGTCCCGGGAGGGAGTGGTTAGGGAACAAGGAGCAGGGGGGGTTGGATGGGTCGGGAGTTCTGAGGGGGGCAGTCAGGAGGTGGGAAGTGGGAGGGGGCAGATAGGGGGCAGGGGCCAAGCTGTTTAGGGAGGCACAGCCTTCCTTACCCGGCCCTCCATACCACTTCGCAACCCTGATGTGGCCCTTGGGCCAAAAAGTTTGCCCACCCTGACCTATAGCAGATTTATTGCTGGTGATATGTGAAAGAAAAAAAACCACAAGCTTGTCTCCGAATGTAGGTTGATTTGCAGAGCTGGCAGTTAGATAAACTATCTTTTTATTTATAATGTGAGCAAATATAACACGGAATTTGCAAGTCAATAAATAAGGAAGACCATAATTTCAGAAATTTTTCAGATGATAGCACACTTTTAAAGCTGTCTTTCGGCACCTCAAAAAACCTCAAATGTTACTTTAACCTTAATTGCTTTAAAGATATTTTGCAAAGAACTGCATGTTGAATGCTCCAAGTAAGCAGGTTAAGAGGGGACATTCTAAAACATACCCTCCAGTTTACTTTGTGTTTTATTGTTTCCTCTTTCACAGTAAACAGGAGAGGAAACATTTTAAAAATAGGAAAATGTTATCATAAAGTCACAAAAACTTTGCAGGGGCAGTATGGAACAGGTGTAGTACCTGAAAGTACTTTTAATCTGACTTTTAAAAAGTTTACTAGATTACTAGATTTCCCAGTGATGTATCTAAATGTATGATCAATCTTATATTTTCTTTGTTTGACATAATAAAAAGGCAAGTTTTACTCCACATTATCCTAACAAGTTTCCTATAGTTGGTTCACCAACATGTTCCCCTTATATCTTTAATTGCACACTTTGTAGGGAAAGGAAAACCTTCTAGCGTCTACACCATATTTCCTAGAATCCAACTTGGAAATTAATATTTGGGACACTATGCATCAAAATTCTGTTCTCAGCAATGCCTATGCCACAGAAGTTAGTGGGGTTACAGAGATGTAACTTTTCACAGAATTGGCCCTATATTTGTTAGGGAGAGAAGGTGAACAAAGGTGGGGTGTTTTTTTTTTAAATGTAACATACTTTCACAGAAAAGTTGCACTCATTTACAGGACTACAATTTTGTGAAATGAGAAACAGTAGCACAAATGCACTAAACTAAATTGTTAAGGACAAGAAGTTACATGGGAAACTGTTAGAGTTGTTGTGCAGAAACCTGATGTTTATTTCTCTAAAGCAAAAAATGGCCACTTTGATTAAATCAAAACAGAATTATAGACACTTTAGTAATGAAAAGTTAATTTGTAAACCTAGTGACCAATTTATTTATTTAAGATCTTAAATTCATCAGCAACCACTGTTAGGAATGTGAAATATCTTTACGGTTCTGTGAATAAATACCACGTAGCTTGCCCTAATTCTGTAATAGGTCACTTGGCTCCATTTGACACTCAGTTCTTATTTTACTTTACCTGTTTTTCTATGTTTCGTAGAAGTAAAGTAGGGCTGCTTGGTGACATTTCAAAATCGTGTTCCGGCAAAGAATCCTGTCTCTCAAGGTTAGCTTGAGAATTCCCCGTGGTGTTTAATAAAGCTTCTGGGTTTGTCAATTGTGTTTGCTTCTTCAAAATGTCTTTTGGAAGTGGGAATTCTTCTAAGATCACCATCCCCTAGACAACAGCAATTGAAAACAGTTGGTGGACAACAAATTAACCTTCCTAAATCATTTTCAAGTGGCAGTCAACCTGGAACATACCTCTTAAGCCCACAGCAACTCTTTGGAACAGTTTTGAGTATGCCCAGTACATACAATATGTAAATACTACTTAATGAATTTAAGTGATAGTAAAGCTGTAACATTCATTTTTTTCCTTAGCAGCGCTAAATCTACAATGTGTCATAGGACTGCTTCAGAGCCTGTGCCAAAATTCAAATTAGAAATCCATACTTGATTATATCAAGTATGTGATCCTTTGCCTGAAGTTTTACGATGATTTCCTCTTTGTAGAAAAAAAAACCACCAGCCTTTGATTTCCAAGTTAGTTAACATCTTTACAGCTCAGAGGTTTACTCTGCAAGTCTTTAAAATGTTCCCTTCCCCCTCCCCCACCCACTGCTGCCACCCACGCAAAATGTCAAGGTTTCTCTCCCTAATCTATCAAAGCATGAAACAACACAAACAGTCTTTCATCATAATTCAAGATAAATTGGTGGGTTTTTTTGAGTTATGCATTTTCTTGGTTTTGTATTTATGGAGGCAACAATCCTATATAAAGTATTTTTCTATGAATCCCATTGTTCTTCAAGGCCATCTGCAGGAATAAGATATCAGCCTCAATGTATTTTTGCGGTATCTCATCTGGAGTATAAATAGTTTAAAAAGATAAATATCGCCTTTCATAGTAATGAACACCAGATGTTTTAAAAAAAACAAACAAAAAAAAACACTTTACTTTGTTCTCCACAAGAAATATTACAAAAATAAAGTGTAAAAAGCATTGAAATCAGTTTCCTAAAATAAGAAACTGCAAAGTCAGAGACATTATTGCATATAGTAAAATAAAACAATAACCAAAACAGAGCTTTGAGACAACCAAACCTATTTCCTCAACTGGTCATGCTAAACTGCCATTAGCCTGAACGTACATGTTTCTTCTCCATTTAGCAAAGCGTACAGAAACTTGGAATTTGGTGGCATTAGCTGGGAGCGTAAATCTGGTACTTAGAGCTATCCAGATATAAATCAGAGCTACTATTCAGTGATGAAAGGATGGGATCTTCCCACTTCATCTTCTCATGTTTTGATTTCTAATGAGTGTGCTCACTTAAAAGTTATGGAGGAAGAAGGAACGGTATGATGTGGAACTCAATCAAGAAGCCTCTATAGCTTCTAATACCCAATAGGAAGATGGTCTCTGCCTTTGCTGAGGCTCCTGTGATGCTTCCATGTTTGTGATTTTATTGGATGGTCCTCCCCAACATCACAATGACACCTTGAGTCCTGCCTCAGTGGCAACTAGCCCTAGAATCTAGAATAAGGATTTTTTTTTTTTAGAAGGAAAACTGGGAGGGACATAAGCAACATGGAGATGCCCTTGTCTTCTTGAATCTCTCCATTGACCTTTCAGGGTCTCTTCAAGTTCTATGAGATAGGTATAGATCGATAGTATTGTTCAAACTAAACAGCAAGTTGTGTACCCAAGAGCAAAGTTAAAAACGGAAGAACTGCTGCAGTGAACCTAGGTGTGGTAATTATATGAAGATATACCCATCTCATAGAACTGGAAGGGACCTTGAAGGTCACTGAGTCGAGTCCAGTCCCCTGCCTTCACAGCAGGACCAAGTACCGTCCCTGACAGATTTTTGCCCCAGATCCCTAAATGGCCCCCTCAAGATTGAACTCACAACCCTGGGTTTAGCAGGCCAATGCTCAAACCACTGAGCTATCCCTCCCCACATGACCTACATGTCCACTGAATGGAAATGTTTGCAGACATACTGGCCCTCCATCAGGCTGGTTCTGGTTTCTCTGTGCTAATTATCAGGCGATGGTCCAGGTGTGACTAACGCTTATCCCAAACATAAGTGTACTTTACCATTATCATATATGATAATTTGAGGTCCCCACAGCCAGAGCAGCTGAAAACTAGGCCTTGTGACCAGAGAAATCCAGTTTCTTCTAATCCTTCTCTTAGGTCAAAAGGAAGGATCTGCCAGCCTTGAATCTCTCTAATGCAAGCTGACAGTCACAGACCTTGGTTCAGGGTGGAGGAAAAAGAAAATTCAAATCCTTTTTGTTGCATTTTGTAAAGTAATCATGTCTCTTTGCCATTCACATCAACAAAAGACTTTTAGAACAAGAGAAAAATACGTAGTTCGAGCCTACTTTGATATTTGCTATGGCAATCTTCCCTTGATTTTCTAGTATGCAGCTTATTTATTACTTGTTTTGTGTGGTACTCAAAAAGGCACAAAGCACGATTCAGTTATAGTAGATACTCTACAAACAAAAAGGAAGACACACAGTCCCTGCCCTGAAGAATTTACAATCTAAACACAACATTCAAAAAGAGAAGAAGAAAGGGAAAGAACACACAAGCCACATGATGCAGGCAAAAGTCCATTTTTTAAAAACTGTTTTTCATTGGAGTTTTTTTAATTAATATATTGCACAACTGGAGTGGGAGAGGGGAAAGAAGAAAGGAAAGGAGTTAACAGAAACAAGAGACTTTAAAAAAGGAAGGGATGAGAGACATTAACAGGGGAGGGTTAGGGGTTGGGAGAAACAAAAAGGAAAGGGGAAGAGGAATGGAGAGAAGGTGGGAGGATAAGGAGAGGAGGCTGGCCTGTAGCCAGGGGGACTGTAAGCAGAAATGGTTGGAAAATGGAAGTGAGAGTTGCCACAGAAAAATACAATAAAAAAGAAATATGTTTTTTTTGTTGGTCAACCCCCGCCCCCCCCAAAAAACCGAGAACCTGAAAACCAAAGCATTTAGTTTTGGCAACAGAGCAGTTTTTGGTTTTCCAATGACTTTTTATGGGTGACTGTTTTCCAATGAGAAGAGTCTCTCGGCTCCCTAGAGCCCTGCTCTTCCTCCTCTGAATCCATATGGGTAGGGAAGAGGGATTGCTCTCACCTGGTACCCCTGGATGCCAACAGAGTGGGATCTCCCCCCATACCACTCTAGTTTAGTGTTCAAACTAGATGTTTCACCTCCCCAAAACATTGTAAACTCACATTTGTTTCATATTAAAAAAATCCCAAATCATAAAATTTAGAATTAAAAATTTAGCATTAGAATTTGTGCGCTAAGTGTACTACCTGCCAGCCAAGAGACCGAAAAGAAAGAGTTAGTCAATCAGCTTTCATGCCTTTTCATAGCTACTGCCTTGGTACAATATTCAAACTATACAAATCAAATCCCCAATTATTTTAAAAACTGAAACAGGATAAACAATCTAAACGGCAAAGCAAACAGATATCGACATTCACTAAGTAATATAAAGCCAAAGACTGAACAACACTGTTGATAAAAGGGGATGAAAAATTGCAAAGGATGTGATTAAAAATATAGGGCCAAATCATCCCCATCCACTTGCAGAAGCAGAGAGAAATTCCAATCTGAGGAGACTGACCCAGATGTGAGGGAGGAAGTATCACTTCTGCAGCATTATCCTCTCAGAAGGGATGGGGTTGGGACACATACCTCCTACCACTAAGGAAATACATGATTAAGAATACTGGCTCTTAGTCACTGCCATGTTGCATATTTCTTTCCAACCCCCCCCCCAGTCATGCTGATAGGTGTGGGGTGTGAAGGGGTGCAGAGACAGAGGACATACATATAGGCACTACATGGATTTCAAGAGTTCCATGGGTGGACCTCCTTGATAGTTCCACAGAGGGAGAGGGGCAAAGCAAGCCCTAGAAACTATTTCCACCACCACCCCTACAACAGGAACAATTAGTGAGCAGGAACTTGACGAGTTTTTGGCTTCCTATGCAGGGAATGAGTTGGCTGGCCTACAGAACTGAAGTGCTAAGAATAGCGTGATTTAGCATAACATTCCTAAAACATTATCAGAGTTTAGCAATCTTGACTTCCTTACTTTTTATTTCAAACCTGTGCAAACAAAACAGTTGATATCATACTGTAATTTTAATTATAATTAGCATTTGACATATTCAAAGCACTGTACTGTAAAAACATTAACTTATTAGTCCCCAAAATATTTTTATATAGTAGGCACGAAAAATTACTGTTTCTTTTTTATAGATAGGGAAACTAAAGTCCCTTTCCTAAAGCCACAGTGAATCAGTGACAGAGCAGGGATTGGAACTCAGGAGTCCCTGACTCCCAACCCTGTGCTCATGCCCTCTAGATCACCATGCTTCTTGTTTCTGACATCTTCTCATTAACCTTTGTAATTCTTTGCAATACTTTGCTTGGATACCAGAACTGTTAAAAAAAAAAATTACTGGAGACACTGTACATGGATTATTTGAAGAGCCCACTTATGAGCACAGAGACAATACCTTGGTGGCTCGTATCTGCCTGTGAAGGTCAGTTAGTTGTTGGATTTTGTATTCTAGCTCTGAAATCTGGGCTTGAAGCCATGTCCAACGGCAGCCAACTTTAGCTCGGTCTACAAGCCACTTCCATTCAGAACTATAGTTGCTGTGAAGAAGATGAAATACTGGTTAGTCCAAGAATAAAGACAAGCACATTTTAACAAATGCACTTTCAACTGCTGCAAGCATCTCACTTGCCTTCAGAGGACATCTAATTAGGTTAACACAATACAACATCAGCATCTCATTTCCTTAATTAAGAACTGGTACAAGTTCATTGCACCCAACGTTATATTCATCATTCAACAGATATTGCAGCTTTCCTATACAAAGCTGTTTTTCTCTTATATATTCCAAAAGCAAGAGGAACTACTGAACTAGATCAGTTAAAGCAAGTTACAGATTTTAAAAGAATTCCAATAAATCTACTAGCAAAACCCAAACCACTTCTATTTCTGTCAAGTCATACTGATGACTTCCACAAGCCTCCATAGATGTCATCTCACTGACAATTCTATTCTGATAAGGCACGACTCAACAGTTAGCAATTATATATGCCATGCTACTCAAAGCTGTAACTGTACAGTAGGTTAGGTTTATTTTATTTTTTTAACCAATTTTATGAGCACAATTACAGATTTGTGTGATTCAAGTGTTATGTTTTAAGAAATTCCTCTCCAGGACTGTTAAATTACCTACTTTGTACAATGTGATACGTATCCGTTTATTTTCTGTAATGACTAGTAGAGTTCTAAACAGACCTCTTGATATTATTAAGTCAAGTTCATCCCTGGTGTCAATGAATTTTGGTCAATGTGCCTATTAAGTAAATAGATCGCATATGGTACTTCACCCCGCAAAGAGTTATTTTAACATTCAAATGTATTTGAGTCGCAGGGTCACAAAAAGCAGTATTTCAACATGTAACTTCTGTGGTACTCTGTGCCTCAAAGCAACACCCTGGAACCCCCATATTCACCATTGTCATATAATTATGATATGTTTTGTACGAAGTATGCCTTGTGATGTATCATTTTAAAAGTCTTGATCTGCTGAACATTAATATCCTGTTGGATTGTGTGTGCTATCATTGTATGTGAAGTTATGATGTTTTGCTGTATGTGCATTAATGAAATATGTCAGAAGGTTGGTAACACCCACAACCAGCCTTTTAGGTATAACAATGGAGGAGCAAGATATGCTGATGGTCCACTAAAGGGAATCCACACTCCCCAGGACTATCCCAGAAACTGTATATGGAGACTTCTCAGTGATAGCACATAGACAATGAAGGCTGCTTGACCCACATCATAGCAAAGGTTCTTTCCAGGAAGCTGGAAGAAACTATAAAAGAGAGGAAGTATCACCACCACTTGGCTTCACTCCCCCCACAACTCAACACCTGGAAACATGTTTGGAGGACAAAGACTTTGAACTGGGGAGGTGATCCGGGCTGGAGGAGAATTCCAGCCTGTGTACTGAAGATCTGTAACCTGTTTGTACTATCAAGGTGAGACACTATCTGATTCAAATCCTGTTTAGTGCACAGAACTTGGAAAAACCCTCTTCACCAAGATCAACAACACTAAACACAAGAGGAATTGCCTACACAGGTGGAAAGAGGAAGAATGAGCTAGTCTTATGTCACTTATATGGTATGAAGACAGCGTGCCAGTAAAGATATCCATGCTCAGATACCAAACTACAATGGATAAAGAAAGAGCTTGTTAAACTATGAAATACATTATTTGATGAAAACAGGTCATTATCAGTAGTGGAGTATCTGTACCCTTATCCTTCACATGCAAAAAAAAAAAGGCATTTTATTGTTATTATTTTGCAGTATCAGATCTTGGACTAACTGTATTCACAGCCAATTCTGCCATCAAGTATGTATTTATCATTCCCTCTAAAGTCAATGTGAGTTGCATGCCCACATCTGAGAGCAGACTTTGGCCCGTGATACAGCATGGCCAGAGGGCAGCAGGAAAGGGTTAGAAGGGAGCCTTATTCCCTGTAGAGGGAAGAAAGTTTGCTATAGATTAATTAGAGCACCTGAAGCCAATTAGAGCACCTGAAGTCAGACACCTGATAAAAAACCCCTGCTTCAATCAGACAGGGGAAGGAGTTGGAGCAGAGAAGATTGGTGTTGAAGCAGAGAGCAGTTTGAAGGAGTAGAAACAGAGTGGATTGGTGTTAGAGCAGTTTGGAGGGAAGCAGAGGAAAGTTTGGAGAAGTGCTGCGGTGGGCTAAAAAGACCAAGACCCTAGGTAAAGGGGCACCTGGCTTGTGTAGAGGGAGGGCAGGAAGTCCTCCCCCCGCCCACAAGCTGAAGGGCAGGAGAGGGAAGTAGCCCAGGGGAAGGAACCGCTAGTTCAAGTGGTTTACCACTATCCCTAGGGCCCATGGGCTGGGACCCGGAGTAGAGGGCGGGCCCGGGTCCGGGTCCCTCCCTCTCCACTCCCCTCCTCTAGGACACTAGTTGGGCAGTTAATATTCCAGTTCAGGGGCAAGAAATGGCGCCCTGAACCCCCCCCCCCAAGAAGAGAAAGCACGAGACCCATCATAGTAGTGCCAGCAATTTGCCACACGTCTTAGAATAATTTAACTGTAAACATACACTGTATTCATTTAAGTTTTCATAACGCTATTAAATTAGACTATAGTATATATGCCCTTAGGTCACCCTGAAAGGAAGTGTTTCCAGTGGTTAGAGTAGGCCACTGGATATCAGGATTGCCACAACGGTGAAAATTTAAGAGGGGGAAAAAAAACACGCTTAAGATGCATAATTTTGCCCAACTGTGAAAACTGAAATTGATAAAAATAGAAACAATGCTTAAAAATAAACACTGATATCTACTGAAATGATAAAAAATACAAAATGGAATTCTGTGAAGCCTACTTATGATGGATACAAGTAGAACACACATAATTTATCCACGTATTCCTTTTGTGAACAAAAGGACAAAAGTGAATGGGATAAAATAATAGTGAGGACGGAGTACTAGATCATTCTGTATAGTGTACAGCTAATATATTAAGTCATCCCAATAAAGTGGCAAGTAGAGGATCATACTTACAGTGAAACTACAGGGAGGGAAGGCTGTAATAAGACCATGCAGAGGGACTCTGCACTCCTATGAATACCTCTGAACTCTGCCCTCTGACTGTACATGTGCATGAGCGGGGAGAAGCTCTCTCAAGGCAGGGCCAGTGGGACCAATAACTATACAGATCCACAGAACAAAGCTCCATGAAGGGGGTACGAAGCTACTACTATAAACCAGGAGATTATAGTAGATGTTACAGAGTAGAAGCCCCATGCTCTAGTTCTACATTGGGAAAGGGACAAGAAAGGACACAGATATTTTCTGTATATGTCCTCACTACAAAGCCTGTTTACTCAGTTTCTGTGCTGGCAATGAGAATTTGGCCCTATCCTCATATACTTATAGACAGCAATACCAAGTGTGTTTTCCTCTGTACAACCCCAGACCATTAGCAATGCTACATTTTCAGGATTCTCCATTTTTCAGTATGCTAGAAAGGTGAAACATTACTATTGCCAATGCTGAAACAGAGAGTAAATTATATTTTTTAAATGTGTTAAAATGATTAAGCCAACATAAGAACGGCCATACTGGCTCAGACAAAAGGTCCATCTAGCCCAGGGGTCTCAAACACGCGGCCCGTGGGCAGGGGTTATTTTCTGCGGCCCGCGAGTTCCCCGTGGCCCGTGGGGCCCCCCTGCCCTCCCCCAGCGTTTACCAAGAGTGGCTCCGGCCCGACGCGCACCGGGGGCAGGGCAGGCTCCCTGCCTGCCTGCCTGCCCTGCCCTGCCCCCGCACCGCTCCGGGAAGCGGACAGAACCTGGGGAAGGAGGGGCACAGGGGGGGTGTGGCTGTTGCTTCAGGCACCGCCCCCAGCAGCTCCCATTGGCCGCGGTTCCCCATCCCCTGACATGATGGGACTATTTCAAAGAAGCTGTTTTTCCATCTGAAATACTGTTTTGAATTCCTACTGTGTTGGTTAAATTGCAGCAGGTCAATCCTATGTGACTTGCATGGAAGAAAACAACAAATAAATACAGAAGAAAAACCAAACCACAAAAAGCTCAGACAAATTCAAGAAGTCAGAGTATAATCAAATCTATAATTAGAAGGAACTTGAGGCTGGCGGTGTAGGGGCAGTGCATTACAAGTCCAAGAAGAAATTCATTCCCGAGGCCAGTAAAGGCAGCCTGAGCCTAGATTGGCACTAAATGAAACCAAAATAAATGTATTATTACCACTACAAGTCACACCCAGCCTTCCTTGACTGGAAGGACAGACTTTAGTCCAAAAGCTGTTGATAGGACAAATGCATGAACAGTAAGGCTATCCTTCCTCCCCATCCCCAAACCCTCTGCATCCCAGCACCCACAAAGGAAAAAAAACAAAGAAAACAAAAAACTGAATGTGAGTGTGGAAAGTATTTGCAATTATATTTTAAAATATTGAGTTGAAGCCAGCAAGAATCTTTCTTAAAAAAAAATTATTTTACAAATGCTACCATTCATCAGTCAGCTGGGAAATATGTTTCAGCATTATCTAGAATTCAGCAGTGCCAAGAAACCTAAAAGGTAACTGAACTGTATGGAGAGGGGAACTGCTAACTGAAGTAAAAAGCAGCCTCATGCTATGCACGTATATTTTATTCTGAGAGGTTTCCTGCTTCTGCAAATATAGTTTGAAAAACAGGTCTTAAGTAGGAGTAACGGACAAGCAAATCAAGGAGAATTTAAGGGACAGAAGGAACACAGGATCAGGTTTTGCAGGGCTGGTCCAAATTTGGAGACAGCTGAGCAGACATTAGACTGGGCCATGCATTTTCAAGGGGCAGTATGTGATGACCTATATCCACCTGCCCCAAACACCTATGCCCTGAAAACTGTGGGGACTAGAGCCTCATCAGGGAGGAAGGTACTGGTGAGGATAAACAGCGTGCCCAGACTGGTACATGCATTTGTGGGGAGAGAGTTAGTGGACAATGAATGGAAGCTTCCTATAAAACAGAAGGAGGCACAAGCTTTAATGTGCCCACACCAGTGTTATCAGAAAGCAG